AAATGGGAATCAAGCTTTTGCTAAAATGTGACGCTTTTCCTCAAAAATCACAGAAGTGACCTAGAGGGAAAAACTCCTGGTTCAAAGTGAACAGTCCACCAAAGCTGCTGAAACACTGGTTACTTCTTCAGGCATTGGCTGTGTTTCCTTCCTTGCAAACAATTCAAAAGTTAAAATTTAAAATGTAAAATTTCAGTTCACTGGGAGATGGGCACCAGCAAACTGCCCCAGCATTTGCACAGCACCCGAGGCAGCTTCTGTGGCCTGAGCTGCACTATGCCTGTACCCCGCAAGTTGTTAGGTTAGCATCTTTGGTGAGAGCTCGTGTGCCTCCACACTTGGAAATATTCCGAGTATCCATTTTGTCCAGCTTGTGTTAAGGAATGTGCACATTCCCAGGCACTGGTCAGCTCCCCAGCCAGCACACACTGCTGCTCTTACCAAGCTGAGCTCTGCTGCAAGCAGCAATAAGCAAAGCTGCCGGGCTAGTTTCCATGGAAATGGAAACCAGAACAGCTGGTTTCCTTGAAAATCATGTTAGGACATCACTTTGTCCCAAGGGGATTAGTTTGTTAGCTTTTCATTTTTCTTTTTGGACCACACAGCCTGGCTGAAACCAGATTTACTTAGCAGCTCACATATATCAAGTACAGGTTTCATGGAAATGTCCAGGTGAAGCCACCGTTTCAGATGGGATGTCCCTGACTCAAAACCAGGCAGGTCTGAACACCTACCCGGCACGATTTGCAGAGAAGACTACCTCGTGCTGGCCTGTTGGCATCCCTGGCCAGATTTAGGTAGCAGATCTCAAACAGATCCAGATAAACCGAAGAGCAAGAGCTTGGCCACGTCCCCCTGGTGCCCAGCCTCCCATCATTGATGTCCACAAAATGTGTTTTCCTCATAGTAATTTCTATTGCCTCCGCCTGTGTTAGGGAAATGCCTTAGAAATTCAGAAATAAACACCTGGTTACAAGGAGAAGTGAAGGCAACAGAAGTGCATGTGCAGATAAATTCAGGTAAACACCAAAGAAATATTAGTGGACCTAGAATCTGAAATTTGGTCAACAGCTCTTGATCTTTAATAGTCCTTTTGACTGTGAAAGGTAGGCCTCGCTTTACAGAAATGCTGTGAAAATGGGGACATTTTCATCCAGCTGTTTATCATGAGGAATGTAAATAAGCTAAAAAGACACAGGTTGTAGGAGCAATCAGGCAGAAAATGAACATTATGGAAAAATGAACAAAAACAAATAACGTTGTAAGTGGAGGAAGGCCCAGATGGAAGCATTTGAGTAGTGCAATCTTATGTATTTCATGTTGCTGCAGCAGCCTCGTGCATCCTGATGTCTTTAATGTTTTCTTGATCCACAAACCTGTGCCTTGTGCCAAGATTCTTTTCTAATGTAAAGAAGGATTGTGGTAGTTTGTGCTTGGAACGGAAATCCCAAGTCTCCTTCCAGACTGAAAAATCTACCATGTGGAGGGAGGGCGTTTCCATGCTGCCTGATTTCCACAAAACCTGCTTCTTACAGCACTAACTTAAGCTACAACAGAGGTACATGTCCACCTCTGAACGTGCTTCTAACAGGCTGACAGCGACACAGGACACCAAGGACACTTGGTTATATTAATGTCACCTACACTTAATTAGTAGAACACAGCTCATTGGTGCTACTTTGGGGCTAGAAACTGCCAAGACTGTGTGCAATGTGAGTTGAAAAAACTAGGGGAACCTGACACATGCCAGGGCCATCTGCTGACACCATGCCCTGCTCTGAAGTCTTTGATGCCTTGATTATGTAACTAGGGGAGCTTATTCCATCCATAGGACTCCACAAGCTAATTACCAAACCGTAAATCACCTTGACTCCTGATTACCTGGGTGAACTCAGAGCATTATCACCGTAATTGCAATTGTATCACTGCTATTGTCTGAGCAGGATAAAGTACATCGGCACCCAGAGATTATTCCCCACTGCTTGTCATTTAAATTAGAATTGTTTGGCATTCCTCAGCCTGCTGGGAGGCTGCAAAGAAGTGGGGTTTGTTTCCAGTAGTTTCACTCAGCTTCTCTACAGGTGTGATTTCCTCTTGCACAACACTGATTTCTGGCTGATTTAGCTGTTCTGAAGGCCTGACCCAAAGTGGAGTGATGGAAACCTTTTCTTTGATATCAGTTAAGCAGAGTTCAAGTCCTAGCCATCCATTAACATTACTATTACCAGGGCTGAAAACCCCTTGCAGGCCCTCTTGCCCAAGCCCAGTTCAATGTCACCCTTGGCTAGCTGTAGGCTGCAAGGTCCCAGGTTGCATAGCTCAAAAGGACACGTCAACACATCCTCAATCACTCAAAAATGAGACCTCAGAAGTCTCTGGATCATTCCCCAGTGCAAATGCCAGGGTGGCCTTTCACTGGACGCCCTATAACACCTGAGAGGCTAGTGGAAGGTAAACTCGAAATAGAGTTTCCTGTTAAGGGGAGCAGGAGCTAAGGAGCTCAGAGGAAAAGTCTAGAGTACCATCTTTCCTGACCATCAAAGTTTAATATTTCTTTGCTTTGTGGATATAACAGAGCTCAGACAGCATCTGGCCAACCTCATCTACATTGAAAGATTTGGATAAATCATGTCCTTAAGGTTAACCAGAATTCATAAACTGCACTTAAACAGGTTCATCATAGTGCTGTCTCTATCTATCATGAAAAATACCACATTCAGCGAGACAGGTATTCAGCACAAAAGGCACTATGGGTTGAAAAATAATGACAACACCAAGAAATCTTTCCCCTATTTAGCAGCACATTTTTATAGGTACCCACAAGAAGGAAATTAATTCCCTTTTTAGTTTCCAAACTACCACCCTGAGAGATAGGAAATACGGGCTGCACAGCTCTAAGAGCTTCAATTTGCATATTTCAACCCTTCATTCAATTACAAATTATTATCGACACACTGTTTCTGCTTCCACTCCAGACTTGCTCACTAGAGACCTAAAAAAATTTATTTTAAAAAGAGCTGCAACAATTTTCATTTTATTTGAATGTGCACTGATAGCATTTCCATGGTCAGAAATCCTGTGGAAATTGAATGGACCACTTTGGAGAATAAAAGAAGCTACAGGAAGTAGTATGTGATTAGAATAGCAGAAGCTACGGCCCTTCTACAATCAGTGATGTTTTAATAAATCAAATACTGTTAGGTAAATCAGACCACTCCATGCATTAATGTAAATCCCTTAGTTTCATTATTCCTATATCACAGAAAGGAAAACCACACCAGTGGGATGAAAGGCAGGGCTTTCATACAGTTGTACTTAGAGGTGATGTTTCTAATTTTTCAGAGACCTCATCTCAAGACAGCAAGGTCAGTTTTGGCTGTCTGATTATGATACAGAGTGGCTGATCATGTTGTCCAGATAATCTGCTGTCTGGAAGAGACAATGAATCCTCAAATCAGACAGGGAATGCTGGTCAGGTTGGATCTTGCTTGGCCATGTGAGATGCTAATTAAGGTGTAAATCCCAATTCCATGGCAATCCAGAAAATTTATCATGATTTTATGCTAAAACAGGCAAAAGACAAGAAACTTGCCACTATTTTACTGCATGGTGTTTGGCAAAGGCAGGTCAGATTTTTTTCTCAATCCTTTCTCTTTCTGATGCACTCCTTTAAGGAAAACAACCAACCAAACATGCATCTCAATAGTGACTCCTTATTCAAGGGAGAAACTAGCATTCTTCTAGCCCTTTTCTTCAAAAGATATTAGAAGGTAAGAGTGCTTAATTTCCAGTGTATAAAGATCTCAATAACCATCTCTCTGTCACTGAAGAAATTTCAAGGGAAAAAAAATGAAGTGTATCGATTACTTAACTGAATCAGTTTATTCCAATTTATTTTCAGTGTTCCTGCCTAGACTGGATCTTGGCTCATATGCACTAAGAAAGCAGAAATGGTTTAGCAAGCACATCGCTTTGAGGACACAGTCCTGGCGTGACAATATGACAGACCCCAGCTGCCCATTTCAGATGGGCTCCAAGAGTAGCACAGCATGGAGCAATCCCTCTTTTTAGAGACTTTCAGGGATTCAAAGAAGTCATTTGTGTCCTGATCTGGCTGGACACAACTCATTGGTACTTTTAGCAATAAAACTATAAGCCATGTCCATGGATGTGTTGCATTTAACGAGCTGTTAGTAGACTAAGCTCAGTGGCAGTAACAAGGTATTATCGTTCCTTTGTGTCACAGTAAAAACTGTCTTCATAAGTCAATGCATTCTAGTAAATGACAGTAAAAAGGAAACATGGAAAAAAAACCTTTATAAAACATCAGAAAGTAAAATGGGAAAAAGAATAGGCTGAAACACTTGTTTCAAATTAGATTTTATTCCAGGCATTAAACAGTCTGGCACATGCTTTCTTCAAGAAAAGGGAAAACAAATCTGGGTTCCACATAAATTACATCTGGCAAAGTGCAATTTACAATGGAGTAGGGAAAATAAACCTTTCGAGATTGATTTCTGTACAACAGTAATTTTGGCTTCTCTCAAATAACCCCCCAACAGTCCCCACACAGTACATGAAGTTGCATTGGATGTTCTCATATAGTGACAGCTTTCTCAGTAGACATACCCAAAGCCAAGGCTTAGTCTTCACAACCTACGGGTCCATTTAAAGCAAGGAAAACTAGAATGACCAGCTGCCTCTTCTGAACGTTAAAAGCAGCAAGCTTTGGGCCAAATTTGAGGGATGAGGCAACTTTCTTTCAAGGAGCCATCCTCAGCCCTCTTCCAAAAAACACTTGGTTGGCCCACACTTGAAAGCAGCCTTTGGTAATGCCCTTTCTATGCAGTAGCTTTTGTCCGTCTTTGCTGCAATTCTTTCTTTCTGGACAGATATGCCAGAATTTGACCTAATGCATCTCCATCTTCTTGTCTAAAGCAGCTGTTGCTGGTAAACTGGCATCCTCCCTGAGGGGTCTGGCTGCTAGTTCTCACATACACTCCTGAGCACATACAAATATGCATATGAAGAACTGCATCTGTCTGTTTTTTCTTCTTCTCTCTCTACTGTTTGGGCTAATAGCAAGTCAGGAGAAAGAATTAAAAAGTGATACAAACATGACCAAAAGCAGCAGATCTCATGTTCAGAGTCCAGATAAGCATCCTCTGCCTCTTCTACACCACATTAAAAGGGACCCAGCGAAGCAGTTGTCTACAGAAGATATGGAAACTGCATGGGCCTTTCACCAGACTTTTGGGGAGAGAGGTTTACAAGACTTAGCTCCAACAGGAAGTTCAATAGAACTGGGAGGAGAAGCTAACATTGTGGGAGGTTTTTTCTTTTGATTGGGTAAACTTCTCCTGGCGGGTCTAAAACCCAGACTGAGTTACCGCTAGCCGGTCACTGGAGGCAGGAAGGGGGTGATAGCTAGATATGCCAGAGAGCATCACGAGTAGAGCAGCCCCAGGCTTTTCAGCCTCCTGCCTCGGGTGGGGGGAAGCAGCTAAAGAGAAGGATGGGGTGGCTTGTCACACCCATCAGGTGTGGAGCCAGCGAGAGGGCCACGCAGAGGGGATGTCACACGTGCTCCTTCCTCAGGCTGGGGCTCTCACCCCTGGTCAGCCCCAAATACAGCGACACCGGCAGCAGCTCTTTGCGTGGCTCTAAGGCCAGGCCTGGCAGCACCGCTGGAGGTGGCCCCCGTGCCCAGGGCTTAGGCACTTGTCTCCAGGCTACGGGGCTGGGTGGACAGACCAGAGGAGCAGCGAGGGGGGAACCGCACACACTGCAGGCCAGAGGGTGCCAGGCTCCTGTGTGGAGCATCCCTCATGCACAGATGTGTTTCCACAGAAATTTGGCACCCTGAAGCCACCCTCCACCTCAAGCAGGTTCCAATTGGGCTGGCCAGGAGTTAGTTTACTCACTGAGGGAGTGCTGGCATTCCAGCCATAGAAAACAGAGTAGGAACTTAATAAGGAGTAACCCCCAAGCAAATTTGGGTTATGCTGATAGAACAGATCACCCATTTCCCAACTGTTTAGTCCCAGGGCCCCGTTTCCCAATCTTGGCCCATTAGGTTGCAGAGCAGCTTCTGCAGGCAGAGGAAGGAACAGGCTGACCACACAGAAATGACAGTCCTGCCTCCAGGGTCTACTAATCTTCTAGACCCTCTGCTAATCATGGCAACCCTTCTGCTGGGCAGTCCTTACTGCAACACAGCAGCGCACACATGCATAAGTGATGCATGATGGTAGAGCAAGAAAGCAGGGAAGCTAAAAGCTACCAGGTACTTGTACAATCATCATTTACGTTATTGGACTGAAGGTCATGGGCTCTTGGTGCCACGAAAGGAATGGATGAGGAGAGCTACAAGGCAGTTCTGGCCACCTGGAGTATTGGATGGGGTTCTTTCCTCCCTCTGCGTGCTGTTGTGTGCAGACATCAGTTACAGAGGAGAACTGAAACCAGATGGGCTGATTTCAACAACACTCTTCACCCTCTCACACCCCCAGCTTCTTCTTTGAAAAGCTCAAAAACACAAAGTGCTCAGCTGAAATGGCTTGCTGATGGGCATGATGAAAACATTTAGGGTTAGACAAACTAAACCATTCCTTCCTTCCTAATCACCTTCCATTCCCAAGGTCTCATGCACAAAGAAACAAGGATATCTCCATACTACCATCATGTGGCTTGTAGCAACTCCCACTGTTGGCCAGGTACATCTGCTTGGCAAGCGTTGGTCATCACTCTTCCAGCTTGGTTTTCCAGGCAGAGACCGCTGACAAAGTGTTGGATGAAGCCACCTTTCATCTTCCACTTCTGTAAGAAGGGACATAAGAAACAGTCTGTTACTTCCATTTCACCAGGGAACAGTGACTCCAAGCTGGAGAAGAAAGGTTGAGAATAAGCGGCAAGTAAACCACAGCCACTGGGGAAGCTGAAAATCAGAGCATGGACAGCATGACCAAAACACTGGTATCCTGTATCAGCGATACCTGGGGCTTGAGCTGAGCTGGATTGTAGGGCTAGATGTTCAGAAGCTTTTAGAACACAAGATCAGCAGGGGAATTTTCAAAAACATACAATGTCCATTACTTCCTCCGCCATGCTTTGCCCTATACCTCTAGGCACCCAGATACCTCTCAGCCTGAAATTCTTCCACAGTTTCTCTCCAACTAACAGAAATCATCATAGCAAAAAAAAAAAAAAAAACCACAAACAAACAAAAAACCCCCACACACTCTCCCTGCTGCTTGACTAGAACATATCTCTTTTCTCATCAAATTCAAGATTTTTATCAGCACTATACTGAAAGCTTTTTATATCTCTGCACCCTTCACAACCGACTCTTCTTGATGATCTTGTCTGCTCTGCTGACATTTCCCAAGTGTCCTTTTGGCAGCTCCTCAGTAAATATCTCTGCTTTCTGTAGTGCTGTCTTCTTGGTCTGCTCCTTCATTGCCTACCCACAGGGCTAAACTCTTTCCTGAAGGTCCATTTGGTTTGCTTTCCAGCAAGCAAAAGCTATGCCCTAACCTTGAATTGCAAATTTCTCTAGGAAAGGTCTGTACTTTCCATCCCTGATGGGAAGAACAGGGCACGTTCTGTTTGCCAACATAAAGAAAAAGGTTGCTGGATTGCACACTCCAGGATCATGAGATTTTCCCATCATTTCTGTTGCACAGATGAAGCTATTAGAATTTGGGTCTAGATGCCCAGTCAGTAAGCAGCCTGAATATTATGAGGATGTTTCAGCCAGATGCAGGATGTTAGACTTATGAGGATGATGAAGAAAAGGAGACAGCTTAACAACACTGATGGACCTCAAAGCTACTGCAGAAATTCTATGCAAAGTAAAAGTTTTCTACAATAATCAGAATTAATGTCAAAAATCTACTGACACGGTAATTCTTGGGTAAATAATACAGCAAACAGCTGAAAGAAAAGTCAGCTCTCCTGTACCAGCCAGTGAGAAACCCCAATATATGCAAGAGAAGAAAACATTCACAGGAGTAACTTTTCAGGGTAATCAAAAATTTGTTTTTAACCCCAACCATCCATTTTCAAGTTCCTGAGAAGGGTCTTGTAAGCCTAGAAATAGCTCAGGAAACACATCTGGGAAGAACAGAGGTTGTTGATTGGGACTGGGACACCTTGGACAGAGTTGTACAGAGAACTGGCAACTGGAATAGCCACAGGTGTTGCAAATGTAATTGTATTTGCACAGCCATGGTCAGCCTGAGGCTAGTACTGAAGATGATGCACACAATTCTAAATACATGAGCAGGGAGAGCGTGATGGAAAAGCTCACACCAACATCCAGGAACTCCTGTCTCTGAGCTCTGCCTTTGTAAAACTAGGAATCGGGGCTGAGAAAAACTTTGGTGGCTTGAAAATTATTTTCAGACAGTGGCGTGACGCAAGGACCATTTTACCAGCTTATTACTACAAAGATGTTGAGTCAGGTGCTTCCAGAATAAATAAGTTTTCACTGCCTCTTTTCTGATAGTCTGTCTACAGTCAAAATTGTCTGCTTTTCAGGTGATCTATGAAACTGAGAAGCAAGGTGAGAAAAAAATTCCAATCATATGTCTGAAGGCATATTAGTTTCAAATAGGTCATGTTTCTTCAGCAGATTTTAATGAAATATGTTTTTTTTAATAGGATTTCTCAGCATGCTTCTGGTCTTTAGGGAAATGCTGTGCCAATGTTTCTAATTTTTATGTTCTTGTTTTAGTGCCTGACTCTCACTTTGCCTTCAATTTGTCCTCACTGTAACGCTAATTAAACTGCCACTCCCACCGTCCGTCAGAGCCAAACCCAGAACTGAAGGCAATAATTTATTATGCAGTCAAGTAAAAATGCTGTTATTCAAACAATGCTATGGATGGCATCCATCTGGTTTCAAATCTAGTTCTGATCATGCAGAATGGCTCTTGGCTGTTTCTCTGCTAGTGGTGCCGGCTGTTGCTCTTGCTGATGAGCGGGATTATGGTGCCAAACACATTTTGTTCCTGGCTCCTTTCAGCTCAAGAGAGAGCAGCCTCGTGGAGCCAAAAATCATCTGGATTGGGACCATTCTCTACTATGTTCCTGTTTACAAGGACCTAGGCTTATTTTGAGGTAATATTCTACATACAACTCATAATGCTTTAAAGTCTCCTCTAGAATATTGAATACTTGCCAGATAGGCATGCAGTTGTTAGCACCCAGAAACAACAATAAATCCCCTCACTCCCTGGACAGGCTTGCTGCACAACAGCTGTACAAGGAATGCCAGCCCGTGGGAACAGAGGGGTTAGGAAAGGTACACACGTTACCTGTCTGCCGTCTTTCTGGTTGCAGGCTTCCAGCGTGACTTGAGAGCCGGTGGAGAAGGAGGTGATGGAAAGACACTTGTCCTGCTGCCTAATGAGCGGGTCACTGAATATCCACTCCTTTGACATAAGGAAAAGAAAGGTTCCGTTATGATGATGGTAATTAATAGAGGAAGGAAAAGATTTTTTTTTCCTATTAAATATCTCCAAATTCTAGACCCCTTGTTCAGCTCCTATCCAAGGCTCCCTGGGAGGACCGTGGCAGCAGTCTGCACTGAATCTGAAGTTTATGCTCGGGCTTGCTGCTCTACACCTATTTTAAAACATGCAGCTGGCTCTCCTGACCATCTGGGCCGCCTCATTAGCCTCGGATCCCACACAACTCCTTGCTCTGCGGTTTTACAACATCAGGCCTACACAACAACAAGGGAACCAAGCCCTGGTTTACATGTAGTGCAATTGCTTCCGCATATTTTACACAGCAGACATGTTCTGTAACAGGTAACTGGGACCTACAGATTGCTTATCAAGGACAGCAAAACACACAGCCACATCCACAAGTAACAAATACCACCAGCACATACAAAGCACAAGCCATTTCAACTTCCCTTCTTCACACTGGATGGATGCCCAGCCCAATCAACTACTATTACATTTTCCTCAAGGAGTAAACAAAAAGTGCAGTAAGATTCAGCGATTTCACATTTTAACAGCATGGAACAGTGATGGTATCAGATTTAATAGCATGTGAAATGCTAGCTGCAAACTTGTTTCCAACAGTTAACAGATGTGAATATATATTTTCTGGCATAAATTATCTTACTGTGACACTCAACTTCTGAAGCTACTTGCCTGCTGCATTGTGACTACCAAAAGAGGAGATTGGGTGCAGATCCTCAACTGCTATAAACCAGGACAGCTCCACTGCAGTTAGGAAAGCTGAGCCAAATTACTGCAGCTGAGGTCTTGGCTCAAGCCATCCACAGCTACAGCCAAACTAGTAGAGCAAGGAACATCTCTGATCCTGTGGGAATCTTCTGCCTGCATACTGGGGTGCAAGCCAGGCACAGACCAGAGCTGGTTTTCATGGGAAGGACTCACAGCCCCTTAGGCTGAGAGCTATATTGCTCTCAAAAGCTGCTTAGCTTCCTATTTCTGTGTATCATTAAAATCACTAACAGGGCCAAATTCCTCCCTCATTCAAGCCTGTAAAAATCCACCATGATCAGAAGTACCACTTCCCATTTGCTGGTAGTAAAAAGGGGAGAGACAAAGAACCCCAATGAAAGCCACCTTACCTGAGTGACAGGTGGGTTGTTCACTGTCCCTTTGCAGTTTCCTGTGTCAGCCAACATGTTCCCTGTTGTATCCTGTGCCCGAGATTCCAGGCAATTTCCTCCTTGTTTAATTATCCCTGGAATCAACTCCTTTTCAGGAACCCTTGAAATAAAACACAGTAGTAGTATGAAAACACATTTCATAACCCAAAATGTACCAAAGCATTTACACATTTACAAGGGCAAAACTGGCCCCTGGCTGAAATGCAGTTGCCTTTGCTTTGACAGAAAATGAAGGATATGCTGTCCACTGCAACCACCTGAGGGAGGCAAAAGCCCAGGGAGAACCCGGTCAGAGAGATGCTGCTCTTCTGCTTCAGAAGGCATTAAAGGATCCCGAGGTACGCTCCAAGCAGCCAAGGCTTCAGAGCGATGTCACCTCTAAGAGAGGTCTTTGCCAGTCAAAAACAATATTCATAGTGATCCACACCTCCCACGTCTCCCCCTTTTCCAGACTCTTTCCCCTGGTGCTAGCACACATTCACTGTCACACATGCACAGATGTTTTAGCCTCAATCCGTACCAGCTGTAGGCTTTGTTAACTGGGAGTTAAGATGTACCACCAAGGTCTGTTAGGTATCAAGTGCCAGCAACACAGCTCTGGCTTGGCCCACACTATCTACCAGGAGGGCAATTCCATAGTGCTACCCCATCTTGACCCACAGAAGAGGAATCCATGGACAAAGCTGTTCCTGACATTCACCAGGCCTTTCTCCGGACTGCTCGCATCTCCACTCAGCTTGGTTGTCTCCAAGAAGAGCATCCAACAGAGAGTCCAAGCTTAGTTAGAGGATATATATAAAATATATAATGTTCCTGTGCACCTCCCAGACTTAGAGATTTCTATGGGCTGGGAATTGACTCACTTGAGTTCTGGATAGACGTTCTCCAGATACCACTGGAAGGATTTACAGTTCAACTTGCGGCGCTGCTCCACTCGCTCTGCAATGCTGCAAAACATGCAGGTTGTTCAGGATAAAACTGTGACCAGAAGGGAAGCGAGCAATGAAGAGTGGCCAGCAGGTTGGAGAGAGATTATACTAAATTTCACCTTGGCGCATTCTCCCACCTAATTATTCCCAGAATCAGAATAGCATCAGTGATTTGAGCTGTAAAAGGAGAGAGTTAATCAGCAGGAAATAGAAAGGAAGGAAAGGCACCTTCAGAGATCTGCACTTCATTTGGCTGAGAATGGTAGCAGGGTCCAGGACCCACCAGGGTTATACAACAAAGCAGCTAAGCTACTGGAGTCACAAAAAAGTGTTTTTGCCTCTGGGGGGCCCTATAGAGCCCATGAGAGCTGCATAGCCGTCAGCTCCTGAAAATGCCCAGGAAGTGTCAACTAACACAGCAAGAGTGTTTTTCTTATTCATTGGCAAGTATAGCTAACAGACAGACCACACTTAGCAAGGGAATTATAGGGGCTCACTAGCACAGAGAGCAAGTACTCCCTTTGTTCAGTTTTTGGTGCCCATCACCAATTTATGGACCAAAAAGAATTCTTAAGCCCATAACAGCCAGTTCCAGGTCAGGACACAATCAAGGCACCATAAAAAGCCCAGCTTTGCACATGAGAAACTGGGTCAGCAGGTCCTGCAAACCAGTCACTGCTGGATTGTGCTTCAACATACCTCACTTGGCCTCAGACTGTGCATCCACACAAGACATTTGAATTTGGAGTAGTAGCTGTACAGCTCGGACTTCTGGAGCATTTACATGCTGTGTTAGAAAAAATTCTCAACTTTCCAATTAATATTGGTAGTCTTTTAACTTCATTATAGATCTCTTCAGCTTTTTGTTGACAAGTGACTTCCCTGGGGCTACTAGGGGAAAAATAAAGGGCAACTTACCTTCCAAATGACTTGCCAATGGCAGATGGCCGGGCCTCGTAGTAGTACTGCTTGTATTCATCCATCCACACCTCCGCCGTGCGCTTGGTGTTCCTGCATGGGCACAAAGAGGCTTTACTGCCTGCTGCTGCAGAACCTGCCCTTTCAGCTAGGCACCCAAGGGCTACCTGCCAGGAAGGCGCAGGGGGAGTATAGCACATTGCTGAGTGGATTACATCAAGTGTATAAACATTGTTAGGATGCTCCAGTTCAAAAAAAATCACTACAGTTCACCATGAGTCCTTTCATCCTTGTCCCCTCCACAGACAGCTCTACTGATCATCACAGACTTCACTAGCTGTCCCAAATACCTACTTTTCAATCCCCTGCTCCTCTAACCACAGAGGTTCCCATATCACCTAGTCCAACCAACCGCTTAAGGAAGGGACACAGTAGCACAAATAACAGAGAAGGGGAGAGGCTTTATGCGCAGACACCAGCAGCTCATTCTTCGCTTGCAGAATGAACCTTCAACCCACAGTTTGTTCTCCTCTGGCATTTTGAAATACAAAGCTTAAGCTTAGGCACATGAAATACTGAGGTGATGTGGTTGTTGTCAGGATTTCCTCAACACTTACTTGATATAAGTTAACGCATTCCCCTCGGGAAAGTCATAGGGATGGCGCTTCCTGAACACGTGTCCCACTCGACTGCAGGGAACGATCTCCAAGCTGCCACCGCACATCCATACTCGGAAGGAGAGCTCTGAAAGAGATCTCAGGGGTCAGACCAGAATGTTTCCAAGAACAATAACTTCCAGCAGTGCACCCAAAATCTTTGCTCCTACGTTCTGGATGTATTTCTGACAGCAAAACCAGGAAAATGGACACCATTGTGACAGTGAAGAGACTCTTCCCTTTGTTGAAACGGAGGCAACACCTGCCTCTCAGACACTTTCTAGCTTTCTCCAGCCCCTCTCCTCTCTGGTCCCTGAAGTTTTTCAGTGAGACACCTTATTTGACCTGATCATTGTGGCTGCCATCTGGTGTTCAGGACAGCATCTGTCAAGAGACTAAAATCACCCCAAACCCATCTTGTTCTAAAGATTTCTTTAGAACTTCTTTATACCTTCTTTAGAACTTTATACCTATGAGGGAAGGATGAATGGAAGGACAGGCTCACTGTGAAAAGCAAATCACAGGAGGAAGAGAGGGAGTCTTGGAGATATGGAAAGAGAGCAAAAGATGCAGGCGTAAGTAGCTAACTGATATGCTCTCCCCATATCTCTAGCTATGTCCCCCAAGATACCACTTGAAAGCAGAGCATCCTGAACATGGGTTAAATGTGAGCTGCAGCTGCCCTCTCCGTACCATGTAGTGTGATTATGGTACAGCTGATATGGACATATGTGGACACAAACCCCCTCCTGGGACCCAGAGCATTCCCTGCAGACTCAAAGGACCACAGGCACAGGGAGTCCCCCTGCTCCTGCTGTGGGTCTCCCTCCACTCCCCAGCAATCGTACTGAACCTGCATTAACACGTTATTCACCCTCCGGTATCTCACTGCTGTCATTTGTAATCCTCTTCGCTCCATTAAAAGAAAAATGTGACCAGGTTGTAGTGCATCTCCAGTTGACCTGGGAACATGCTAAGAACATGCATGCTAAGAACAAAATTCAGTCTATGAATGTGTAGTGTATGAGCATAAAACATTTGAGAACTCTGTCCTAGAGCTAAATTCACTATTTTGTTAAAGGATTAGAAGAACATAAAGCTTTGATGTACAGAAGCTCATTTGCATCACAGAAGAGACATGACCTTGCTCAGGCTTATGGGTCTGTCCTAGCGGGTTTAATCATTGCCACATTAGAGGGATTTTGCACCTGCTTTTCATGTGGCAGTGAAAAGAGAAGGGAGAGGAGGAAAAATGAAAAGTAGTTGGGCAGGATTACTGATCAAGTCCTTACCAAAGGGTTTCAGATTGTGTGGACAGATGACTTCAAAAACCTTTACTCGCTTGGGATCTGCCTCCAGTGATGCCTGAATTATGGGGCTCTGATGGTTAGAAATTAAAAAGAAATGATGTATCTAGATCTAATGGCTGTTTCAAAGCAAGTATACACACTATCATCCTCCCACCCTTCTTTCTCTGGAATTTTTTCTCTAGCTCATAAGGAAAGGCTGTTTCAACAGTGGCTTTTAAGCAGGAAAGAGGGTATTTTTTGATCTACCTTTTGCTTCTAAGTAAAAAACATTTTAATAGACTGTTTTGTGGCATTTCTGACTGTCTCTAACCTCTTCCTGACTCTTTCCCATAGCTCATTAATTTCAGGCTGTTTTCAACATAGAATTCTAGATTTGAAGAGAAGAATGAGTTTAAAAAGCGAGAAAAAAAGATACTTTCTGTTGTCTGTTACAAATTGGTTTCTAACTCACTGCTGTGTAGCAGCAACAGGCTTGATGTTGAAGCCACTGAGTCACTGCATCATGGGTAGCATAAGAGCCGGAGAAAAAAAGCTTTCAAAAAATGTAAGTATTGTGTTTTCCTTTAAAAATATTTTTCCCTTGCCATCCCATTCCCATGTTGTGGCAGTGGATCTCACAGCCAGGCTCCCTCCACCATACAGTGCATCATGCACGTAACCTTGCCCTGCTAAATGAGGAGTCTGAGTTCATAACAAGAAACAAACAAGGGGTGGGAGACAGCAAAGCACACAACAAGGCAGAACAGGCAATTCCAGTATTCCTGGGAAAAGGCTCAGTTACTTGCAGCAACAGGAGCCTCAGATGATGCTACTAGTACAGCCGAGATGCCTAAGCAAGCCCCAGGGCTGAGCACATCTTCTTAATATCACCAATACCATAATACGAAGCGATGTCTTGGAAAACAGAATGTGAGCGTTCATTATTAGGTATTTTGTTTTAGACCAGTGGTGACTTGATAAAAATGATCATCTCCTGGTTTTGGAGAGCATTTTACAAGAAGGCAGCTCTTTCCTTGCCCAGCCATGCTCAGAGCTTTTCCTACCCATGGTACTAACAACAAGCCTAAAGCACTGGCATGACTAGGATTTTTATTTTATTATACTCCTATGACCTGGTGGGTGTTTGCTTACATGTCAAAACTGCATGAGGCATTCCTGACTTTGGGTCTCATTTAAAAGAAGAATAAGAAAAGAAGCTTTAAGATAGCTGAATAATGACAGCGAGTCACTCAACACGTTAACTTTACGGAAGTTCCTTATCTCTCTCTTCCTAATTGGTCCTTCCTGTGCTTGAAAGCACCATATGAATTCTTTTCTGAAGGAATTAATCTACAAATGCATAATAGCTTTGGACACTGCATGACGAGACTTTTTTTGGCAGTGTGAATAACAGAGAAGTCCATTTAAACTGACTGGGAAATATTATCCTGGGCCTGTGAACTGCTCAGCTGTTTGAGATGATGCTCTGGTCTGCTTCTATGTGTTTTCATTCCAGATCTATCCGTACCCAAGCTGCACTTAAAATAAGCCTCATTTTATTAGGAAAAAACATACTCCAGAGCTATTAGGCTGGGACAGGAACTCAGACTTAACTGGATAAGAACAACAGGTATATGAGGAGAGCATGGAAAACACCTCAGAGCTGGGGAAACATGGACCGTCATGCAAAGGACTGGAGGAATAACCTCTAAAGATAAATAACAGCTTGAATATCAGGATGTTCCTCTGCCTGTGGAAACATTTATATAACACTGCCTATACTGTAGAAGTACCTATACAACAATGCATGTGCACGTAAGAGAACGACAGCCCTGATCTCAAAAACGCCTCTGCTGTGCCCAAAGCAGCCAGCAACACAACTCTGGCTGACACAGAGGCTGCTCGACCGTGTCCTTAACCTCACATCAGCATGCAGCTCTCTTGAGAGCAGAGTTGTGGTAGGCAGCAAAGGCTCAGAACTGCTCCTGCAAGTGTGACCTTTCCCTGAAACACACAGAACTCACCAAAATTCTCTCCTCCCCAGATGTCCATCTGAGTATCATATTTTCCCAGGTGGTTAAACCAAGACTTGTCAATCACAAAGATGCCTCCTGCTATGACAGGGGTTCTGGAAAAGAGAACTCCATTACCACGTGCACCTCCGCATATCCAGCACAGCATGGATTTTACTCACTACATGAGTAAAACTCTTTTGCATTTGCAGAAGCATGTGTGCCCCGTGTGAAACAACACCAGAAATGCTGCCTGGTGACTGTGTTCACCAGCTAAACACAGCGAGAGAGACCTTGCTGGCTGCATGCACTGCTCCGCTTTGGAGTGCAAAACAGGGGCTTGCAAAACACGTAGAAGAGTTAAATGGGCTGTGCCATATTGATACAAATATATTAGAATTTATCACAGTTTGTTTCTTGGAGCTGGACAACTAAATTTCCCCGTCCTTAAAGGGGTTTCTGTGGCATTCAGCAAACGGAGTGAGGAAGATGAGACCACAGAAACAAACATGTAGAGCAAGTGGTTCGCAGAGCTTGCATTACTAGAAACCTTTGATAGCATTTAGCTGCTATTTGTTATAATATTCAGGAAGTAAAGCCTTCAGAAAAAAAACACAGATCTCAATTCATTGCAAGATTTCTTCACAAATAATGTGAAGAATTTGTCATCATCAGGTGAGCACTGTGAGATTTTTGTCCTCAATAAGACAACCCAGGTGTAGTCCTCACCATACAGGTGAAGGCTTAGTAAATGTATTGAGGTCTTTATATTCTACCTTATAGACTGAGTTGGGTCTGTTCTTGACATCTTCTGCTCTATTGGAATCTGCTCCCATTTGAAGTGAAGGCTCCAGTCAAATCCTGGGGAGGGAAGAAAAACAAACAAAACATCTCAGACAGGGTTTGTTCTTGCTTTTCTACTAGCTTCAATCACAGTGCCAGCCTTTATAGCACAGGCCTTCCTTTCCTTTCCTGACCTGCTTTGTTGTCTATCCAGAAATGGCAAGAGTCTGTCCCAATGCAGCCAAGAGGCTGCTAATTTTCTCTCTTGGCACCCTCACCCCATAGTGGCACACGTCTCTGCTCTGTTACATTTCACATTGTCACGAGGGGGTTGTTACTGGGAGATATAATAGTTAACATCGCTGCATTTTAGCCAATCTGTCTTACACTTCAGTCTGCCAAAGTTACGAGGCTTTAATTAAGATACTCTGTATAATACAATGCATTCTAAAAAAAATAGGACAAAAGTCTACAACACAAAGCACACACGCACACAATACACAGAAAAAAAGCACAGTATTATTCATTGTAATTATCCCCCTCACACTTATTATGTATTTATAGTTGGACTGTGGTAGACATTTGAGGACTGGATGGTTACACCATTGCAAGAGGTAGCCATAGTGCGAGTAGCCCTCGGAAGTCAAGAGAACCCCAGATCTCTACATTTTCACTTGCCATGGAAGAGAAAGATTAGAGCTTGGCAGACCATAGTAAGAGCCACAGTACCCTGAGAGGGCCTGGTAGCCAGGAGTAGTAACTGGAAGTGCCTGCTGGGCACTGCAGCATAAGCAGTAGTTGCAAGCCAGGCTCTCAGAGAGCCGGGATGAACCTCTGCACTCTTGGTAGGAAGCAGTTCTTTTCTTATGGAGACCAGCTCATGGAGAAGTATGCTGGCTGGAGACAGGCACTTGCTGATGAATCTTGGTGGTGGGTAGGTCTATCTTAAATGAGTTACTATCACAAGAAGAATTATTCCCAGAGATATCAATGGGTTATGCACTAGCTTATGCCAAGAACACGTGTATGAAGGCCCAAGAGCCCTCTGGATGTTTGTCTGTAGCGACACATGTGTGCAGGAGACTTCTCAGGGTCCTTCTCCAGGGCCACGCTCAGGCACTGCCCCAACATGCCCAAAGCATTCAGTCTACGTGAAGCTCCAGAACCAAATTTGAAGGCTGTTGTGATCCTTTAACACCACGGGGAGGAGACAGAGAGCCTGGGCATGATGGATCTCCGTAAGACTTGTCAGGTGTGGGGGGTCTTTCCCAAGGACCAAATCACAAAATACTGAGATACTAGCTGATAGTGAACGACAGGGTGGAGCACAGGAAGAGTCAAGAGTTTCTAGGCATGGCCCTTCTCCCTTTCCTTTTCTTGTTGGAAACTCTAAAGAGTGGGCTCTTTAGGTTATATCAAGAGGACTGAGAAAGCAGAAGGGGCACTTTCCAGATCTGGCATGTGAGCTGCAGCCTAGGAATGCTCCCATTCACCTATAGTTAGGAGATGGGAGGAGGCTAGTGGACATGATGATGATTTTTTTTCAGTTAAATAAGCTCTAGATTTGCAAAGATCCATATCACCAATGCAAGCTCACATGCAACTTCTTGATGTAGTTTGGATTTGTTTTAACTCTGAAAAAAAAATCTCACCTCGCAAATTGGAAGAGAAAGGACAGAGAAGCCATCAAGAAAGAGCATCACTCTGCTTTCTTGAAAAGCTAAAGAGAACCACAATTATTTTTCATGCACCCTCCCTCTGGTCTAACTCACATAAGCCATTCATTGTACCCACCTCCCCTCAGGTCTGCTGATGCTGCCAGGTAGGCAAAATTATCCAGGCTGATAACATCAATGATTGGACTCACCACTCGGGTATAATCCTGAAGGAGAGAGAAAAAAAGGGAAAAATAATCGGACTTTTCTTGAAGGACTGGCAAAGCTGCCTGAGATCAGAAAACATGAAGCTGGACATGTAATCTATAATTTTTTGCCTGGCTTCTCTAGTACAATTCTGAGATGTGGGCAAGAAATTCATGGCCACTACCTCCAAGCATGGAGATAGAGGCTACTAAAAAACCTGCACAGCAAACAGAGAACGAAGCCCAAGTACTTGTCACCCAGAAATGCTGCTAAGACACAGCTCTATTTCCTGACAAAGTCACAGGACATGAATCACTTTTAAAGGTTGTGTGCTAATTCTTGCTGTTTGCTGACAGCAATTCCTGCTCAGCCTCCTTTGAATTAGCTCCTTGTTTCTGGGCTGATAGCAATCAACTCACTAACAATTTTCCTGACAAGTTCTATCAATTGAGATCCTTGCTTCAAAAACATAAGAAACTTAAAAAATTAGGAAGCACTCTATTTGCACTAAAGGGAATATATATTTACAATTCTTTTCTTTGCAATGGTTTTACTTAGTGGAAGATGAGATTTTAACAACTTTTCAGGGTCAAGAGATGGCACTAGTAAGAGTTTTGTGATAACAAAAATCTATGATTAAACTGAGAGTTGGCAATGCTGGAAACAGTTACTAGACATCTGACAGCCTCCACTGTGGTGGCCCCTCCATGCCTCTCCTGGCAAACCTCTGTTTGGCACCTGCAACAGCTCTTCCTTTGGCCCAGGCTGACAAGGCCAAGGGCTCTTGCTCATGGACATTCCCGCCGGCTGTGTGCTGCAGATGGCCACAGAGAGGGAACATGTCTGTACAGCTTCTGCTCTGTCAGCACTCACCCGGAGCTTGCTGGCAACTGCTCCAGCCTTCTAGGGACAGGACTGTTCAGGCTAACACTGACATTTGAACTTGGACTTATACTGGAAGTGTTGGAGGGCAGGTCTGCAAGAGGCTTACCTGAAATCTGCTCACTAAACACAGCTGGAGACAGCACCCTGGTTTTACAACTCAGATACTTCACTGAAAAACATCACCAGGTCCTTCCTGCTTATGCAACTCCTATGCCGCTGCCACCAATTTGACATTAAGAGCAGGAATACGGTAAACATTTATGGCTATCCCTGGCAAACAGGCATGAATACAAGGCAGCATTAGAGCCTCCACACCTTCTTGTGAACCCCATTACTCCATGGGATCCTTCCTTTCAAAGGAAGGAGCTGATCCCCTCACGGCCACTTGCACTCTCCTGTGCACAGTCACACATCCTCCCCTCCAGCCCTACCACTCAGATGGGTGACAGGAGCTGACCGTCATCTCACTCACTCACTTTCCAGGCTCACATCAGTCCTTTCCCAAGTGAGCCAGCAAGCAGACATCCCTGCACACACAGGCAGTGCCTCTGTGTTAGAAGTTAGTGCCTGTGTGTTAGAAGCTTATTGGTGGAACCTATAAAGGAAGGAAGTTTCGGGCAGCAGCAAGGCAAAAGTCAGAGTCCAGCAGCTATAAAGGCAACAGAAAACATGTAAACTCCCACTGTGTGCATTAGGAAGGTGTCTACAGCATGCACAGAAACAAGTGCAGCACCTCTGGGAGAGCTGAAGTCGTGGTTTAAAGACTATACATTGTGCCCCATCCCTCCCCACCTCTTGTCCCACCAGCAGGAGAACGCAGAGGCCTGTCAAGAAGCATCACATGTGTGACCAGCACAGCTGCACCCTCCTCTGTGAGGATGCGAGAGGAGAGTCCTGGGGACGGCTCTGTTGTCCCCAGGATTGCTCACAGCACACAGGGCCACAGGGTCCACCCCTACAAGACAGGCCAGCCCCACACATCCCAGGGAGGGGGCACCACACTCACCTCCTTCACCCTCTGAAGCATCGGCTGCAGCCACTCGCTGTTGACTTCACAGTGACTGTCCAAGAAGGTGAGGACGTCAGCAGCAGCCATCTCAGCTCCTCGCACCCGAGAGCGAATCAGCCCTAGGATGAACAAACAACACTAGAGAAACGGGAAGGCAAACAGCTGAGCCTGATCCAGAAACTAAAACATCTTGTGTGGCCACTGCCCAAGAAGAGAAAGTGGCTCTCCTACATCATGACCCCAAGAAACAGGAGGCAGCTCCTCCAGAGGACACATGGCAAACCGAGTCCTCCCAGCTCATGAGGGATGGCCTCATGTATCTCATTTTTTTCCATACCACTGAACTTCCATCTGGTTCCTGTCCTGATGACAGACTCCTTCCCCTCCAGCCCTCGTGACAGGCACGTTGCTGCTGCCTTGGCCATGACTGCTCAGTCTCCACCTCATTGCAATATTCCTCCTGGTTCTCCCAGGACTGCAGCACCACATGCTACTCTCTGCTTGCTGCTTTTCTCACTACTTTATTCACATTTCTCCTTTTTTCTGCCTTTTTTTTTCCTAGAGATATTAACTTGACTTTTGAATGTCTCTGTACTTTTTTACAGACCATCCCATTGCCTGGGATATCCTTCCCCAACCAAACAGTTACTGACTCCCCCTCCAGATTCTCAGAGATTACAAAGCAGCTGGGGAAAGTCAGTGTTACTGCACACGCATATAGGAGAAATAACTTCCTTAATTGTAGCTATTTATGAAATACGCTTGCTTTTTTAACCCTTTCCCACCTCTGCAAGATGACTCAGTACTTCATATTACAAATTAAACAAAACATTTATATTCATAAAGATGTTAAAACGCAGTTCTTGTTCTAACCAGAGCATCTGAATATCACTTCTCTCTGTTTAAAGCATTAGAGAAGAGCACTGAAGCCCAAGAGCTGGTAAGCCAGGTTATCCCTCCATAGAACCTCCCAAGTAGGAGAGCAAACCCTTCCATGGAAAGTACAACCTGCAACCAGAAGAAACAACATGCAAACACAGCTGGCAGGCCAATCAACAAAAATCTTGTTCCCCAGAAAGCTTTCCACACTCACCTTCTCGACGAGTGTTGCGCAGACACTTGACTTTGGGGATCTTGGTAAGGAGCTGGCAGTCCTCAGCTTAGATAAGGCAAAGACATTTGGCACAAATGCATTAATGAGTTGCCTTCAGCAGAGAGCTCCAGTTAACCCTTCTCCTGCATCTCCACGGGAGGGGAAATTGTGCTTTTACTTAATATTGCATTAATCACCCTTAGTTAATAGTCCCCTTATCTGAAGGGCACACAGAAGAGCACTGCTTGCCTCACTGTCCTCCTTGGACAGCTAGCCCTGCACTTCAGAGGGATGGAGCCATCGCCCTTCTGTGCTCAGCATTTCATAAGAGCAGGACAAGAGCTGGCCCTGTGGCACAGAGCACTGATGAGATGGAGGGACCACTGGTAGTTTGAAGCCTTGTCTCCTTAATTGCCAAATAAGGGTCCTGTTGCACTGAGTGATCTCATCTATTCTCTTCACCCTCAGCATCTCAGCTGGGCTTTTCCCATCATTTACTCTCTGGACAGTTTCTGCCTTTTTTTTTTTTTTTTTTTTTTTTTAATACCAGCAACAAGGATTTGACTCAATTCCTCAGGGACGCCACAACATTAATAGATAGATGCTCAAGATCTCCATTGGCAGCTGCCCAGAAGCCCACGGCACCTCTCATTTACCAGCAGAAAACATGATGGACAGAAATAGCTATTGGATCCAGGCAAGCTACACCAGCGACCACCAGGTCACACAACTGTGCAAGGCTACATGCTCACCATGGTGTGCCCACAAAATGTGCCTTCTTTGTTCCACCAGGCCCTCCCTTGAGGGCCTTTTTCATATCCCCTTTCTGCTGTTATCCTCCCACGGACTCTGCTCTCACTGGGGAGAGTGCAAAGGCCATTAGCCAAACTACCTCTCTTGGCGGGCTTGCACAGAAGCATTTCCATTCAGGCAATCTGCAATATTGCTCTTATGTGGGCACTTTGGCAGCTGCTGCAACATCCAAATGAAGTAGCAGGTGCTCTTGATTAAAAACTACTGAGATTTTGCTGGACATCTGCTAAAAGGGGAGACAATGCTCTTCTCTTGGCCAAATCACACTTTTAGGTAACAGGAATCCACACTAAGCCATTCACCCTCAGGTGTAGGGTGCATCATTCTGACTCTTAATTGCCAACACAAACCCTCTCTACCTCTGGAGCAAATAAGGCAGATATTAAAGAGTCAGACCTCCAACGTGGAGCTAAAAAGCTCCATGTCTGCATGTATGTGCCTAAGTGAAGTGGTTGTAAGACCAAAAATACCCAGCATGCCAGTACCGTCTATGAGAAAAACAGGAGCTGCCATGGCATGGGTCTTTTTGAAAATACTTCTGTTGAAATAAAAGCCTCAATGGGAGTTTTTAGCTGAGCCCTGTTCTGTGTTTGTCCCAGACACAGCAGCGTCTGTCTGGAAAACATCCCATCAGGGGCTCCTAGTCTAGACAAGAGAGTAACTCTGTGAGGGAAGGGACTGAGTAGAGTGAACCAAGGGAGAAAAGAGAAGGCAAGAAACAAGTGCACGAGTAACAGATCCACACTTACGGTCCGAGCTGAAGTCATCCACCAAGATGATCTCCTGGATGAGGCTGGGAGGGGTGCGGTTCAGCACGCTGCAGTGACCCAGGGAGGAAGCAGAGATGAGTTTTGTGAGTGGCCATCACAACAACAGTGGGACTGATACAAAGAGCAGAAATCCTGACCTCTGGTACCGTGGAAGCAATAACCTTCCCCTCGTACCAGGGTCCATCAGGACCCAACTGATAGGCTGGAGCACCAGCTCTCAATGCACTCAGGGCATCTGAGTGCAAGTGTGCAGGGACCTTCAGGACTTGCCTGGGAGCTCTCTCTGTGATGCCTGTCTGTAGGAGAACTGTGCAGCGTTCTGAATATTTTCCCCCCTTTTGTTTATTTGTTCTTCTAAACTTGCTGTTATGGATTGAGAGCACAGACCTTTTCCTGGGCTAGGTGCTGCTGTGAACTGCAAACCCTCAGGTCTGCAGTGGGTTTGTGTCTGCAGGACAGAAGCCCTCACACACAAGGAGGGGAGAATAAAAGCTTCCATGCTCCACGGACATCAGTGCAGTCTGCAGCCCAGAAGTCAGAATGGTTTCATTAAGATACCCACTGTTCTTCTATAAATTTTCTTACAAAGCATTCCTTGCAGACTTGTAAAACTTCCTTTGCTTGCTTGTCAACATCTTTCTACTGCTGGGTCCAAAATATTGGTTCCTTTGTCCCTCCCATTTGTTCAAAAGACATAAATTAATCTTCCACAACCCTTTTCTGGCTTCCCTTTAGCCACAGACAATTCACCCTTCAAATCTCCTTCAGTGCAGGGCTTCTGTACACAGGCCAGGTCCTCACTGCCTTCAGGTAGATGATTCATTGGCTAAAAATCACAATCGTGCTGAAGTACCCTGAATAAGAGGATAGGCTTGAAAACTATAATATTAACAAAAACAGAAGCACTGTCCTCTTGGTTCTAGCAACATCTCATTTCATCAGCACCCAATCTTCTGATTTTGATCAATTTGGAGAAAGACTGCTGGCTTTTTTTTTTTTTCTCCTCTTTTTGGGCTTTGTTTTATACAGGAAGCAGACAACACAAGTGATCCCATACTCCCAAGGATGGCCCACTAAAGCCATAAAGAAAGAAATTACTGTCTTGCTAGGCAGCACCAGGGATGGCTTCTCACCCTGAGACAAAGTCCCCTTAGTCCAGGAGAGTTTTCAGCACATTGCAGAATCCTGACTGCTCTGCTGTTCAGCATCACATCCCACTCTTTCTGATTTATTTTGCTTCATGCCTCCTTGTGCGTATTTGTATTTTGAGCTTATATGTCCCTAGATGACTGAGCCTGCAGTTGTTTTTTAAAGCTGAAACTCATTTGTTTTTCTTGGCTTCTATTCTTCTGGATGCTTTAGTATCAAGGGGTATATGTGTAGCAAGTGCTACTCTTTGCACTGATGACTGCAACTTCTCCCAGCGTCATCACCCAAGTATTTTACAGACAAGGTTGCCCCATGCAGAAATTCAGACAAGCTGCATTCTCCACTCCTCAGTGGGAGTCCTACCCTTTTTCCTGCTCCCCTATTAGCAGGGATCACAGACTTCTCCACAAGTTTCAGACTTTCCAACTCCATATAACTGAAAAGAAAAAAGAAATGTTTTGTTCCCTCTTCCACAACTTTCCACTGATTTCCCAGTGGAGAGGAACTATTCCTCAGGGAGTTCCCAGCTCATTGTTCAATGTGCAGCTCCGCTCCCAGGTCTGCAATAATTTGTTGTGAAACCTTAGGAGAGCTACCTAATCTTCTTTGCACTTGTTTTCTCTGTCTTTTTTTAAGAAAGAATACTGTAATTCTAGTATTTCTCGTTAGCAAAGTGCAGAGACTGTCACAACAAGCTTTTACGGAGGCACAAAACGTGTTATTAGGATTCCAAATCCAAATGACAATTGCCTTAAACAGCAGAGAAAGATGCACATCACATTGTTTCCCTTGTCTCATGGATTCCTCGCCTCCTTTACCTGTTCTTACAGTTCACCTTTTTTCAGTATCAGAGTCCTCATTCTGCTCCATCACATCAGTATTGCCAACAAGTTTCTCTCCCTGGTGATCTATCCATCTCTCGTTAGCTTACAGATGGCCCTGCTTATTCCAGGTGTTAGCAGTGGAGCATCTTTTCTCCTTTGCTTTGAAATGGTCTCCCGTTTTTTGTCATTACTTAAACTGTCAAAGCCATTCTGTAAAGTTTTGCAATGAATTGCTGTACCAAATGCTCTAGCAGAATATATAGAGAATATATGCTCTCTGCATAAGCACTAAGCCACTGACAGCTGTTTGAGTCTGCAGACTTAAAAGTTAACTATTCACCCTCACATTTCCACCCAGACAGACAGTATCTACAATACTGACTGAAATCAAAGAGAAAGAAAGGGACCAGGCAGCAAAGCAGTTGACTTTCCTTTCTGCAAGACTGGTCACCACAGCAGAAGTGATGTTAGTTAACTGGTTAATGACTAATCGGGCAGATGTACCCATCACACAAAATGATTTTTGAACGATGGGTGTCCCTGAGGGCTTATAGGGTGCCAAGCAAGTAACTGGTTTGAGTGTGACAGCTGTGTCCTGCTGAGGAAGTGACACAGAGCAGCCAAACAGCTCCTACAGAACAGAACATTGCTGCTAGCAATGAGTTTTTTGAAAGGGCAAGCTCACAGTTACTGGTGAATAGCCCATTTCATGTTTTTTTTTTCCCCCTCCTATACTTCCCTCCATAGTCTCTTGCTGGATCTTTCTAACCAGTTGCCTTCCTTTGCACTGAAAACAAACCAGCAAAGTTTGTCAGAAGGAATCCTTCAGATCAACAGCATTTGAGGCAAGATATCCCATTCATGTGCTAACGTGGTCCTGCAAGGGCTCACGTGCTTGTCTACTCCACCCAAATAAGGGCCTGGATCCCTATGCCTACCAAGATTAGACCAACATGAAAAAACATAATGCAGCAGTCTCATTTCCAAGTTTCTTCCCCAGATCTTTTCCTACCAGCATTGCCATTCAGTTGGATTGCCCCACAGAGTCATTTGAACAATTTGAGGAGACAGCATCTAGCTGTGGGGAACACATTTGAACTCCCTCTTGTTTTATTTCAGATTCAGTTCAATCACAGCACCCTCTTCATGGATTTTTTTCTTAGGCTTTCCTGCAGTTTTATAGCAGATTTGAGTGACCAAATTCAGGCATTTACCAGGCAGGATTGCAAAGGTCTCCATTCATCTGGCAGCAGATATTCTACTCACCTCTAAAGACTGGGGCCTTTGAAAAATATAGTTAGACATAGCAAGTTTCCCTCTTATTGCCTCTTATAGTATACCCATCGCATAATTATGATCACTAAATCTGGGAAAAGACCCACAACAGTGGTGGCATCATATTTAACCTTCACCAAATGCATCTCAAAGGGTTAACTCAACTCATCTTGCTCTATCCAGCTTAAAGAGGCTGTTATGGATGTAGAAATAATGACAGCCTGAAGCCTGACCAGTCAGCAGGTTAGAAGGCAGTGCAGTTTTATGCTTCCTGTAGTTTCATATCACTGTGGTCCTCTGCAGACTCACAACCAGGCCATAAACTGAGTGAAACAGCACAGTTTCCTCCTGTCTCTTTCCTACTTGACATATCCCAAAGCACTGTAAGATAATTGGTTGTAAAAATAAATGGTTGGTACATTGACTGTGTAGGTGAATTCAGCAACAATTATTCTCCCAGCAATAACTCAGTCTGGCACAGTTAAATGTGTTTTGCTGAAAGACAAGACTCTGGGGTTAAAGATGACATTTTGAAGAACACCCTGAAATCTTCAACTCCCTACATAACAGCTCTGTCAGCCTGCAGGCAGGACTCAGTCCCGTGCCTCTTTTATCAGGGTAACCATGACCTGAGCCTTCACCTTTGTGTATGGGTGGCAAATCTCAAAAGACAGACCAATGCTTCATTGTGTGACGTTGCAAATACTGCCAGAGCCCAAGCAGAACTCAGCCTCTGTGATCTCTAGCCAGACAGCTATAAATGCAAGAAAGTTCTGACATTTGATGTAAGCAAGGAGTACAGCCAGCACACTGGTTGCAAACCATCTGGCAACAAAGACTCCAGTGGTAGCCAGAGGCCAGGGAAGTGTCAACCAACCCACTGTTTGCAGTAGAGCATGCTGGGTGTCTCACAAGTGCACTCCCTCAAGGGCAGCAACACCAAAGGTTCAGCTTGAACAGATGGATTGCACCCTTTGGAGAGCTCTCGACAGGTTTGAGTTGTAGAAAGCCTCAGAGATCAGCTGGGACCACATCTGAGATCAATAAAGCCATGTCTGGAATACTGTGTCCAGTTTTGGGCTACCAATACCTCCACATGTTTCTTGTATTGGGATCGAGTTCAGCAAAAGGACTACTAAACTAAGTGAGGGACTGAAAGCACTTAAGAGGAAAGGTTGAAGGGGCTGAGACTCTGGAGGAGAGAAATTTGAAGAAAAGGCTCAGACAGGTTGTGGGGTCTCTCAAAACCCAACTGGAGAGGGCCCTCATCACCCTGTCCCATCTGATCTTGCTTGAGCAGGGGGCTGGACTAGGTGATCGAGAGGTCCCTTCCAGCCTCAATCGATTCTGACAGCATGGTGTTTGTTTAGATCCACCACTCTAGCAAGTCTGGCTTGTTAATCCATTAGCAATCCTCAACTGCTAATTAATACACACCATCCCAGAAGATCTGATATTAGTTTCTCCCACTATAAGTTACTGCTGCACTAAATGTCATCTTCTCAACATTTAACTATTGTGGCATTTGGTTATTTAACCGGCTGCCTTGAGATTTTCTTAAAGTTCCTACTATCCTGGTTTCTGAGCATCTAATCATTTACTATCTGACCTATGATGTAATCAGCAGAAGTCTCCTGCCGTTGCCCTAGCAGCACCATGGCTCCAAACAAATCTGCTCATTTTCTGAGCAGCAGCTCTGCAGAATTCATTTTGTGGTTCAAGTGAAAAGGAAATGAGAGGTAAACAGGCAAGATGTGTTAATGCAGTACATGCAGGTTTCTGCAAAGAGTGCAGCACCAAACCTGGCAGACAGAAAACCAGCCTGCCAGCCACGAGGGCAGTTTGAAAAAGCCTATTATTTATTCACAGAGCAGCACACTTCTGTGAGGCCACAGGCCCTGATGGGGAAGAACCAGTGAGGATGAATAATGCATTCCAACTAGCAGTACTATCAGCTCAAGCTTCCACCTGAGCAATTTGCTCTTCCTTCAGCCTCCACAGGCCATTCATGGAGCTGCTTGCAAGCTTCAGGGACCCTTTGAGCAACTCTTTGAAAACATAGAGGGCATGTTTTCATAAAAACTAAAAGGAAAAGCCTCCTCAGGTTCTGCAGGGGTGACAAGGAAGGGAAGGTGCAGCTTTGTGGTGCAGATATTTGCATATTCCCAATTACTTGAGGATGCTGTCAGGTCCTTTGCCACACTTTTACCTGGTTAGTTGCAGCACTACTCAGATATGAGGAGCCACAAATACAAGGAAGCAGAGGTCCTATAGGTTTGGTAGGGTCTGCATATAAAGCCTAGGAAGGATCCAAGGGCCAGTTGGTTCACTGGCTGTCTATCAGCAAGTTCCTGAGCATCTGCTCAGGCCGCAAAGGGCTTTTTGCACCACCCTGAGACGATTGCCTTCTGCTTGGCAGTATTGACAGACTCGCAGGCCTGTTTTGCTGTCACTGAGCCAACCCCAGCCCCTTCCCTCAGTTGTTGCTATTAGCATGCACTGTCACTCTTGTTCCATTACTCCCCTCAGCCACAGAGTGTTTTGAATGAAGACCCCAAAGTCTCTTTCCTGCTGCTAATGATCCCCCAACAGGGGATATCTGGCTGCTCCTTGCAGATATGCTCTGTCCTTGAAGATATGTCCATCCCATTGAACTAGGTTCTAATCTATCCTTATGGACCAGCTGGAGAGCACATCCCAACCACCTGAGAAATGCCCTCAGGAATGAGGGAACTTTTCTCACCTAGCCTCTGGAAAATGCCTGACCCCCACCAGTGCCAGTGCCCCTTCGGGTACCCAGATGCCAGCAGCGCATCCGCTGAACTCACCTCTTCACGGTGCGCAGCAGGGTGGAGCGAGCCTCGTTGTGGAAGGTGATGATGAGGCTCGTAGGCGGCAGGTCCATGTCGTAGCGGACGGAGGTGCACCTGCAACAACCCCACGTGAGACACCGCCTCGCAGCAGCCCTGGGGCAACGTGCCTGCAATTCCTAACGTAACACAACACCCCTCTGCTAGCAGTGGAAGCATCTCCTTGACCTGACTTTGTAACGTCAGGTACATCCATTCATCCTTGCACAAGGAATCATGGATCAGCTCAGGATCAGCCTACACCAGAACTTTTCAGCCTTTGGAGAGCAAGGATTCTTGGAGCAGAGCAACTCAGCCTTGCATCCTGGGTTCAGTCCAGTAAATGCTACAAATGGCATATCTGGGCTGATCTTCTCCAGACTCTGCATTTTTCCTAACTTTCAGCCCATGACAAATAGCAATCAGTGTGTGCTCAGTTCCTGCCTGATCAAGAGCCCATTCCTGGCACTGTGGCCCGGTGTTTTTACTGCTAAGGCCACACTTAGAGTGAGTCACTTCTTGGAGGGAATACAATTAATTTCTCATGACTTTATAATTACTATTTTACTTCTACATTTACTTACCTTTTTTATGAGTATTACTAAACAGTTGCTATTTTCTTAATACTCCCATTCAATCCAACTGCTTTATGACTATTCTAAGCTGTTAATATTTTTCCTTGCAATATATTGCTAGGAGGAGAGTAGCATCTTACTGCAATTTTCAAGCATATACAGCTTTGACAAAGGCCAAAGAGGAAAACTTGAGAGCAGGCAGGAGACATATTGTATTTATTATTGCCTCAAAATAGCTCCATGACTTAGAAACAATAAAAGCTATTAAGGCAAGGGGAAGTGGGAAAGCAGGAGAGCTAGTGTATGTGTTTTTTAGGGAAGAGAACCCAAGATCTCTGCATTAGTACAGCATCACAGAGGACAAGAAAGATGTTCATGCTTGAAAGCTGTACCTTTCTTTGGATCAAAGAACACGTATATGCTGTGTCAAAAGGAGACTGTAGGGTATCAATTCACATATGTCCAAGCTCTCTCTGCATACTGGAGAAAAGTGATGTTTTAGTGACCTATCGATTCCCCTAGTCCTTAAACTCAGGAGCAGATCAATTCACAAGGAAGGGCTTTCTCAAACCACATCAAACTGGTACCAGCTCTCAGAGCCCTCCTCATATCCATTCCAAAACTGCTACAAAACAAGGGCTCCAAACCCAGTTCCCCCATTCCCACACCGCTCCTCCTGCAAAGGGGAGAGATGAGGGACTAAGTTTATCTGCTCTGATTATCGACACAAAGTCTCCCAGTGCTGAAGAGGATCCTTGCAAAACCAGGGCCTGCAGTGGCTGCACCTTCCCAGGAAGCCACGCTTGCACACGTTGTGCTGCAAACTAAGGCTGTGCCCTGCAGCGTGAATGCAGGGATGGGGCTTTTCATGAGACGGGTGCTCTGCACACTACCATAGAGCACAGATCAAAGTAAATAATAATTCAGCTTTGAAAGGGCTTTTTTTTTTTTTTTTTTTTTTTTTAGGGTGAGAATGTGCCAGTGACTGAACAAAAAGCTGCAGTTCTGCAGGGCAAGGAGAGTTGCCAGTGACACAGGACACAGCACTGCTGCCTTTGACTCGTGAGCAGGATGGGGTGCAGGAGCCCAAGACTTTCATCCCACAAACCAAGTCCCAGCTGCTGGCTGTCACAAAGCACCTGCTGGCTGCCCATGCTGGCAGGCTCAAAGCTTCATTTCTCCTGGCATCCCTTCACAGCTCCAAGCAAGTCAGTTGACAGGTTCCCTATTTCTAGCAGCTGTGAGACACTGCTGCTGCACAGTGCTTGATAGGGCCTATGGTCCAGCCTAGGGAGATGTGCACCATCTCAGACATGGTTTGCATGCTTTCTCCATTCAGGTCGGCTATTTTACACTCTACTATTACCACAGAACCTACAGTTTTAAAGATACAGCGTTATCCTTCCAACTGAAGTGTGCTGTGGAAGTTACAGGATAATTACATGAGCACTACTAACAATTTAAGGATAAAATTTAGTCAGCAGAATAAATTCACCCCCAGTGAAACAAGGACAGAGCGATGAGCACTTTGCAAGCCATGAAATATTCACGGCATGAATATTAAAATCATGTCAGTATCATCCCCAGCTCAGCAGCACTCATCTGCACTGCAATGCTCAGGACAGGACAAATGCACCAAAGGAAATGCAGAGAGCCCAGGCTGCTGGTGAGAAACACAGCAGCTAAAATAAGGCTGCAACAACTGTGCAACCTGCAGGCCAGGACAGAGGATACTGAAAATTCATGAGGGGGATTATGCAAAAAAGCTGCCAGCCAACCTGAGCTGCAGCAGAGGAGATGTGCTGCAACCCATAAGCTGCTAGGTTGGAAGAAGAGGTGCTGGAAAAACAACAACATGGTACAGGGTGAGGGTATCAAATTAGTCAGAGACCTCTCTGCACATTGAAACCCTTCCAGATTAATCATGAAACAAAGTGAAGCAAAGGACTGAGCCTGCCAAAGAAAACCCCCATCTGCCTTTACTACCACTGCAGAACAGCTGGGCTCGCTGGACCAAGCGGTGGCCGGGCCTTGGGCCGAGCACGGCCCACGTGGTACCTGTAGTGCCTCGTGTCCCGGATGGGCCGATCGCTGCCCAGCTTGTCGCTCTCCAGCTGGTTGAAAGCGTGTTGGCGGTAGGGGTCTTCTCCAGCCTTCAGCAGCTTGGAGGACAAGTAGGCCTTCTCGTCAAACCCCCTCAGGCTGCTCTTCTCTCCTTGGGGAGCCCTTGTCACCTAGGGCAGAGACAAGCATCAGCATCAGGGAGAGCAGCCGACTTATCTTCAGATACTCCTAAAAAGCTCAGCAGAGGCCCGTGTGCTAAAGCAGGTGATTTCCCACAAGTCTGGGAGAGATGCAGGGAGTGGAAGAAGGCACAACAGGCAAGGACTTGGAAAGCAAGGCAGGAAACCCTCACAGAAGTCATGTTTTGCTTGCCCTCTCCCAGGAAAGTAACAGGCTTTGCTATTACCACCAACTCAGCTTGGGATAAAACCCGTTCTGCTGATAAGTCCAGATGGAGGCAAGTTCTCTTTGCACTTAGTATATACAACAGGCTAAACTACAGGCAACTGGAAATCCTTCCAGGCAACAAGCGTTTGAAAGCAGTCTCCAAACAGTGTACTGAAATACTGTGTTCTGAGGAGAAACAGCTTCAGGCTTTTGTTAATAATGATCACATACAGGCACAGTTGATGTGACAGCTTTGGCCCCTCTCTCAACTCCATAAGACCATCCTCGTTCCCAGGCAAGAGCTTGAACAACTGGCCTGGCTCTTCTCTCCAAAAGTTTCTTAATCAATCTGCTTCCGTATAATTTCCATGTTTCTTTAGCTTTCTTTCAAAGGCTACAGGATCAGTGCAACACTAACACTTGGAAAACACTGGTTAGAGACCCCAGGAGGAAGGAAAGGCACATTTTGAGCCCCCACTGATCTCAGATTTTGGTTGAAAACAACCTAAAAATCAGTAAAGTACCTCCTATAAAATTGTTGGGATTACTTATACAATAAAAGTGGTTCAGCAACCAGAACAAATCATTTAGGGCAGTAGTAGACTAAACCAAGCAAGAGTCATAAAATGATGCCAGCCTTGTAGGAAGGACCGCTGGAAGGAGTTCAAAGGGCTAAACCTCACCCCAAAGTGCAATACAATCCCCCAACCTTGAGATCCTTCTGTGTAAAACAGTTAAGATGCCTTCTAATGTTAGGCTTAATCATGTTTCACTCTCAGGTATAAGGCTTCTTTTAGGAGTTTTGGGAGGACAAGAGAGCATAGACTGGTCCCCACCATCACATAGGACAGCTTGAGCTGAACTGATATCTTAGCATGGCATGAAAGGACTCAGAGTCCCAGAGCCAAAGCAAATTCCTGAAGGAGGATATTGAAAAGAACAGTCTCTACCTGAGAAGGGCTACTCAGTAGCTCAGAGAGCTTTAAGAGAGTCAGACAGCTGGGTAAGGTGACAGCAAATGAAATTCAGCATAGACAAGTGCAAGGTAATGAACATTAGAAGAAATAGATTGAACTACTCACGCACAGTGATGGATTCTAAATTAACTGTGACCACTCAGGTTAAGGATCCGAATGTCACCATGGACAGCTTAATGAAAGCCCGTGCTCAGTCCGCAGAGGTGGAAAATAGAGCAAATAGAGTGCACTGAGAATAGGACAGGGAAAATTGAAACCATTATAAATGCTATTATACGAAATCAATGATATCTCAGCAGTTAGGAGCACGAGTTTTGTCAGATCAGTCTCTGGAAGGATCCAGTACAAGGAGAAATAGTACAGAAGTTATTGAGAGATAAAGATAAAATTAAAGATTAGCACTGTTTAATCTGGAGAGAAAATGAATGAAGAGAGAGAAAAATGAAGGAGACCCAGAAAATTTTGCTGCTATAGCCAAGGTCAGACAGATGCTCAAATTTCCCTTCCTTATAATACAAGAATAAGGGAAAAGTCTTTTCATAGAAAAAAGGAAGGAGAGGGGAAAAAGACAAAAGAAAAAAGGGACACTTTCAGCACAAAGAATATTATTCAAACAAGCATAATTAAACTGCTGCATACGGGTTCACCCTAGTTTAAGATTCACATAAACGTGTTTTATCTTAGGCAAATAATTTACCTCTCTCTTTTTCTCCAAAGAGAGAGTCCTGCTGTATTCAGTGGAGGATGAAGCCCTATTTCCTTCCCATCACAGTTCCTGCTGACACAGGATTGAATTTTCTCTACTTAGATAGATGAGCACTACTGCTCCATAGCTGCGTTTCACATCCTGCTTCTTAAACTCTCCCTTGAGACTGTCTTCTCAGTAGTAGGAGGAACCTTTTTAGCATCTCTAAAAATTGATTTTTCTCCCTTTATATTAATATTTAAAAATTCATTGAACTTAAGCTTTCACTTCTCTTCTTTCTCCTGCCCCAGGACACAACACTGATTCATGACAGAGGCACAGCTCCTTCATTCAACTATTTTGCAGTCACTCACATGTGCTTTGCTAGCTATTCTGTCCTCCAAGTCCCAGGTAACTATCGGCTGCTTGTGGCTGATGAAGTCATGAACATCGTGCAGGGTGTTGGAAGCAGCAAACCTTGAAGAACCGTTTTCTCAGGACACGCAGAGACAGGGCCCAAGGAAGCAGTTTAGCTGGAAGGGCACCCAGCCCTGGGCCAGGCTGATGGGCAAGGACTGGGTCAGGGATTACCCTTAGGACTAGGCCATATTTAAGCCTAAGCTGCTATACCTGCTTCTTCAAGAGAGCATAACTCATTATCCCTTATAAAAACTGAGTTATAAAGGAAACACAATTAGGAATTAATTTTCACTGAAGAACATTTCTCGTTTTTAATTCAATCAATATCTCTTCATGTTCTCTTTAAACAAAGGAAAAAAAATGAAGAGGAGGATTCAAGGATTTATAGTTCAGACAGCTTAACTTCAATTCCCAGAAAAGCACTAGTAATCAAAGAAACTATCTGCAAACACCTAGAGGATAACAAATAAATAAAAGCCAACTAAGATTCTTTAAGACCACATCATATCAGACCAACCTAATTTTCTTCTGTGACAGGATAACCAGTCTTAAGGATGTGAAAAGCAGTAAATATGACACATCATAGGTCTTTGGAAAGGCATTTGCGACAGTCTTTTAAGACACTGTCACTAACAAGCTAGAGAAAAAGTAGTCTGGATAAAACTACTGTACAACAGGTAGGAAACCTCAGATTTGCTATCAGAAAACTGGATGGAAAGCCACAGCCAGAGCACAGCCAGCAACTCACCCCTATCAGAAGAGAGGCTGTGGTGAATGCAGGTCTTCAAGTATATACGCATAATGTTTTTTTTCTGCCCTTGGATTCAATATTTTCATAAATAGCTTGGATGTTGAGATAGAGAATAGGTTTATTAAATCCACACAAGATCCAGAAAGAGCATCAGACCCATTTGAGAAGAAAATTAGAATTCAAAAAGATCTCAGCACAAAAGATGTCTGAACACAGTAAATGCAATCCAGTAAAGCCACCACAATCTACTACAGTTCAGCAAGACTGCACTCATCTAAGATGTGGTAGAAACAGCAGCTCTGCAGAAAAGCCTTAAGTGCTACAGCTCATGAAACAACCCAGCAGCAAAGGCCAATTTTGGGAGGATAAAAAAAAAAAAATCATATTTATCAGAGCCCAGACTGCTACAGATAAGCCCAGCAGAGTGAATATAAAAGAAATATTTACAGACAGACTTCTTGTTTCAGGATCCTTCCTGGAGTTAGCTGCTTGTCAGGAGCTGCACCAGCTTTCCATGGAGCAGGAGTTAGTTCCCTGCCAAGCCAACGGCAGGGAGCAGGCTGACATCCCCCCGCTCCTTCCCTTGACATTAACAGCTCACACCTCAGGAAGAAGTCAATGTAAACACATAGGAGCTTTGAGTGCATTTAAGGCTCAGCATGTCTGGCTGAGTGCAGAGGAAAGACTTTCTCCAAATCACTAGGGCACCTCGTACCTTATAGCTCTCTGCGTAGCTGCACACTCTGGATTCCCCTGCTTCAGGCTGGGCTTGCAGGAGCAGAAGTGCCCAACTCTTTCTGACTAATTCTCTGTGATAGATCAAAGACATTTGCTACATAAAAGCTGAAGTAAAGATGAATAAGTGCTGGAAATTTGAGTGTCTAGACTAGGGATTAGCAAAGTTGTTTGCATAAACTAAAGTTTGATCCCAATACTGCTAAGATCTCCATTAAAATTCACATACCAGTATTTTGAGAAATACTATAAGTGTTTTTCTAATCTCATTTCACCATTTCTCATTTTCACACGCATTATTTTCACCCTTTCAGCGAGAAGACTGAGTTGCTCTTCTAATGTTGAAAGCATGCACTTACTTGCTTTTTGACATGACTCAAGAGATCATCAACTGTTTAAACAGTTAAACTAATGTCATAGAAAAGAGAGATTAAGGGAACAGAATTAATACCACACACTTTTGTGGAAATGTGAGTGTCTCATTTCTCAGCTGTCATAGAGATCTCCTCTAGGCTTGATTACTAGCGAGGTAACAAGGCTATAAAATAGTACCATCCACCTCAGCACACTGACAGAGTCTGAACAGACACAGGCATTCCAGCTCCCACCGTGAGAAGACAGCCTCCAAAATCAGAGCAGTTCAGGAGCTCAGGGTCCCAAGATTTTCTGTAGCAGCAGGTTAGTGAAATTCTAAAAATCTCTTATACTTCAAGGGTTGTGAGATACCAGTTCCTAACATAAGTAAACTGTGTAAAGTAAATGCAACGTAATTAATCATTTTGCAGGCAGCAGCAGGTTAATGCAGCAGCGTTTTACATGGTAGGAAGTTGTCCTAGAAGTATACTTTGCAGATCTTGCACACCTTTGTTACATACAATTGTTTGTACTATTGAATAATTGAAGTGCTTTCAGACTTTTCTTTTTTGTTTCTGGCTCATTTTCATGATTGTATCTGCTCTGCTGAATCCCAGTACCAAAATCATCACTCACACACCTACCCCAATAAGCGTCTTTTCAAGGAAGAACACAATCAGTGTGACTGATATTCTTTTCATATAAAAATGAAAACAAACATAAAAGCAAGGAGTAAAACCCCACCAAACATGCCTCACTCCCCAAAAACTGGCCTTTGGGGGTGGCAGATGAGCCAGCCTTGGCACAAGCCAGTGCTGTGCATGGAGTCTGTGCAGTCCTTGCTTCCTAGGGCTGCCCTGC